ACCAAAATAAAAATATTATAAAATTTACTCGAAAACATTATAAATAAGCCAAATAACTTCTAACCTCAATTAAACTAACTACAAAGCTAAAAATATTATATTGTAATGATCTATAAGCAATGATAAGCAAAGAAGATGCCACGTGTTTTTAAAACATCAATAAAAACACTATAAATGTTATTAAAAATATTATACACAAACCAAATAAAAATATTATAACAGTTTAAGACTGATAAAAAATGGATGAAAAATTTAACCAAAAAAAAATTAAGGGGCATTTTGGATGTTTATCAAATTAAGGGTATTATTTGGGAAAAAGCAGAGTATCGATTGGAAAATATCCAAATATAATTTTTTAAAAAATATCACTCAAAAGATATTACATTAGATATATATATATATATATATATATATATAATAATAATAATAATAATAATAATAATAATAATAATAATAATAATAATAATAATAGTATACATATTACAATATTAAAAAAATAAAATATTTATGAGTCTATGATCAATATCCACATTAGTTATGATTAAATAATATCCCATGTGATGCCTTTGATAGAAACATATAAGTTTGTATTTATATATACAATAGATAACTCCATGACGTGGCTGATAGGAATAGATAATTAGTGATAGCGGGAGAAGAAACATATCAAGATGATGCAGAGATAATAATTGAGTCCAGCCTGTGAGTGAACGAATTGGGGCCCAAACATCATGTCCATGTATCTGAAGTGAGGCTACAGTCACAAAGGACGAAAAGGTTTGGCCAATCACAGTCAAAGTCCACTTTTCCAAACAATGCTCAATTGTAGACTCGTAGTAAACGACTTTGGATCATCATACAATTCATGCCCACCGCAGACATTGATTTTATTCTTCTCTTATAGGTCGTATTATCTGCATATGACGTTTAGTAATAAACAACGAAATCCATACCTCGCATTTTATCAAACATCTTGCAGTCCCTAATTATGGCAGCTCTGGACTTTGAGTTGAGATCTCAACGGCTCATGCCTTGGACCGGTGGCGGAATGGTTGCGGGTTGCCCCTGCCTCTCCATGTTTGCATGCCAACCTGCACGAAAGGAAAGATCGCCGTTGCTTCAGTCTCCCTCTCTCCCAAAAGGAAGAACACACGAAGAGTCAGCAGAGAGAGAGAGAGAGAGAGAGAGACCTATGCTCATGTCGTAGCCACGGCGATTGAGCTCTCGGTACATCTGGCAGAGGGAGCAGGTCTCGCAGCAGCAGTGGACGAGGCAGTCGGCGCAGGGCTCCTCCCTCAGCCCGAGCTGCGCCCGCAGTTTGGAGCGGTAGAAGCAGGAGTACAAGCACTGGCAGCACGTCACATACATTATAAGCGCGTACAGCGCCCCACTCGTCCCGCATGCTTCACAGATACCGATCAAAGGCTTCGCCGTTCAATCCTCCATGCAGTAAAAAGCCAGACAACAAAAAAGAACGGAGGATCCAATGACTCCAAGAAGAAACAGTACTCACAGGTGGCTCCTTTGTCGACGATCTCCGCGATTTGACCAAACGTAATACAAGGGCAGAAGCAAGTGATGCAGCCTGCAGTAAGGAATCGGATGCTTAACAACAGCAATTGGACCAAGGAATTACCGAGTAAAAGTGGAGGAGGGCTCGATTACAGTTGCTGCCATCGTCGCAGCACTCGCAGAGGCCGGTGGACCAAGCGCCGCCCGCCGGAGTTTGGATCTGGAAAGTACCGGGGGCGGTCGGCACCGGCACGCCCATCGTCGGCTGCGGCGGCGGGTAGTAGGGGTCGGTCGTCGGCGGCGGCGGAGGGTAGTAGGGTTGTGGTTGTTTGGATGGATACATGGTGGAAGAGCAGTTGATCAAGTGGGAGATGGGGGAAGAGGGCTTGGAGATGATCTTGATATCATATCCATCAGCCACTGTTATAGGTGAGCGAGGAGTTCAGGCATTGCGGCATGTGGTTGTACCTACTCGACCACGGCTTCGCTGGTTGCTCTACAAGGTGGGTCAACAACGGATCTGTCTTTGTCGAAAGAGACACCGCCATTATTAGTGTGGCCAATGGAAGACGCCAAGCCATTGGGACGAAGACGAAGCGCAGAGTGTGACCGACCTTATCTGCAAGCTAAATCAGCCATATATTTTCTTCGCCGAAAGATCTTTATTGATTAGTATATTATTGTATAAATAATATGTATTCAAAATTTCATATATATCATTTAATATAATAAAATTTTTCATATTATTTTTAAAAAAATTATCGTGAAAATGTTCGTATACAAAACATGTACAGAACTTTATTTATGGTAATTCTTTGTTAATTTTTAGATAAATTTCGTTAAAGACTCTTAACACTGTTTAATCTAAAAAAACAAAATTAAAGAATGACTTAGTGTTGATACTTTGATTTTTTTTAGATAAATGATATTAACGATTTTTAATCGTTGTTTAAAATATAAAAAAATAATATCTTAGAAGTTCAAGGACTGTTAGACATCATAAAAATATAAATTAGATACATCTTGTGCAATATTAGAAATTTCCTGAAGTGATGTATAATTTCTAATGATAAATATTCTTTTGAAGAAACTTAAACTTAAGTAGATTTAAATAAAGGGCATATGGATTCTCAAAAAGAATTAAGCTATGATGGTTGCCATGAATCATCTAAATCTAATCAATGAATAGAATGTAAGATCCTATCTAAATCGTCTCATCTATCTTGTTGAGGAGAACTTTGGTTTTAAATTCTAATTAGAAGTATATAATGTTAATATGTTCTGAATGATCCATTTCTCATGATTATGTGTTGATTAACACATTGATGTGGTTGATAAGCCCTCGTAGTACAAGCATAATGATGCAATTATTTGAGATGCACTTGAGCTAATAGTCCATGGATTAGGAGGCCTATATATCAAAAGGAATAAAAACTCTCTCTCTTTTTCTTTTTTATATTCTTATATTATCATATGAGAGGGACACGAGAATGTTAAAAAAAGTTCTATCAATCTTAATAAGTTCATGAGTTTAGTTTTAGATCATCATCAAGAAACAAAAGAAGGTCTCCATATTCAAAGTTACCTCAAATGTAGAAACGATCCAAGGAATTAGATTGATCTCTTAACTTATTGAATATAAACTACAGATTAAAATACTTAATACCAAGTTAATTATAATATATCAATCAACTCTTATAAGTTAATTTAAATATTTATTCACTTTTTGTATGAAATAATTTAAGATATTATAAATTCACAATGTCTAACAAGTATTAATGTAGTTTAGGATCAAATTCTAATATAGCATAAGAGAGGTCCAATTATCGACTAAATTATTAGTTTATTAAATCTAAATTGATGAACTAAGATCCTTAAGTCGAGGTTAATGACATCATATGCATGAATCCTTATCATTCAACTCAAGTCTATATCCACTTCTAATTCAAAAATAAATCAGGATATTACACTATGGTGCTTGATGTATTTCTTTGTCACCACATCTTTCTTCGTTTCCATACACATTCATAGCTCAGATTTAAATCTTTTTTTCCCATCAAAAATACATTTAGTTTAATTTGTTTATATAAAAGGATAATGTTTTCGTTTCATCTTTTTCTTTCCGTGTTTGACTATGAATAGCAGTCAATCCAATTTAAGGTCGAACTATCACACCGTACAACATTGGTGTATTTCGCCTAAGAAATGCCTTCCTTCAAAGTTATATATAAAATTATATATTATATATATGTGTTCTGCTGCGCAATCATCGTACATGAATGAACATTTTGGGAGTAAAGGAACCAAATAATGGCTTTACCATATTGCAGCTGCTCTTCAGGTAAGCTAAGAACAGGTGAAGGAGGAGAACCAGCCAACCCGCACTCCCCTTGTTTAGACTAGAATTCAATTGTGCTGAGCATGACTCAGAATAGATGAGTCAATGCGAGACATCAGAGAAGGAACCATTTCTACTTTAGATTTATGGTTTTCCGGACATGGAATGAATTCTCTAGCCAAGAATTGCATGTCCTCTGAGCAATTTCACAGAGGCAATTCAAGGAATGTGCAGGCATAAGGTGGGCTAACGAAGAAACAATCTTTCTCCGAGGGACAGACTTAGGTTTGGACGAATGTAAATGAGCAAAGCTGGTCATCATGTGACAACACATTAACTATGTAGCTGATGTTGTAGGTGAGATCAGTAGTGCCTTCAACTAATGAACGTAGGCCAATACTTAATTTTAAGAGCCCCATCAATCACGGAAGAGTACGACCAAAAGATGTGGCAATGCAAATTGCGTTAGTCAAAAGACCAATGCCTCCTAATCTTTTACTACTACTACTACGTGGTATTTGACTCTCTCCATGCACTAAAAGGAGTGGGCGTCGAAGGAAACATTTGAAGTCTCCCAACTCCATTACTCTTGAGAAGCAAGCAAAAGTTCCAACCAAAAATGGTGGTCCACTGATGCACCTCCCCCATACACAACATTCCATGAGTTCCTCCTGGTCCCGAGAGGCGTAGCTCATTGCTAAAACCCATTTGGCTCAAATCCCATGCTATCATTCAGAAAAGTTCAGGTTGCAGAGAGAGGATTGCTGGTTATGCGAGTATGATGGGACAATAGATCAGAAGATCCAAACGCAAAAAGGGTGGCCGCAGAGGACAGGGTAAATACTTGGATCCAAAGGCAGTGATATCCCACCTAACGCAGCAGCAGAGGGAGACAAAAAGGACCCGAGGGAGGGGAGGGGAGGAGGAGAAGGAGGAGGAGGAGGAGGAAGGAAGGGTATGGTAAAGGATAGCTCATGAGGCAAAATAAGCAAAGGGCCATTACTGCAGACAACTGCCGTGCTCAGGGATTCCTTGGAGTAGCATTAAAGCCTTTTGCAATGGATCCACCTCGCCACCCAACTTCAATGATCGAGAAACAAGGCTTCTCGTCTCCTTTATGAGCTTTTGCTCACTCCTCCCAACCCCCCCTTCTGCTGTTCTTCCCTGCCGTGGTGAAAAGTTGAGCCAAAGAACATGGTCTCAGCTTCCAGGTTCCTTCGCATGCTCGTTTTGGTCCTTGTCTCCACCTTCCTCTTCTTGAACTCCCGGTTCATGGGCGCATCTTGGGCTCTGCATGAGAGCAGGACCATTCTGCAGTTTGAGAGCGAAGGGAGGGAGGTCCGAGTCGAAGCGATGTCAGGAGAAGATAATGCCGGTGGAGATTTGGGGACTCGGCTGATCACAAGGGTCAGGTTTCTCCTCGGCATGAAGATCCCCAAGCACAGAAGAGCAGGGCACGCCAGAGCTGCCTACTCCCCAGCTCCTGCCCCTGCCATTGGAGCCGAAACCCCTGCTCCTGTTCCCCTGTTCAAAACCCACGTCCTTCCTGCCTCGCCATTGCACCGTCGGCCTCACATTGCACCAGTTCAGATCCTGGAGTACGGGAGTGGAAGAGAAGCCAAGGAAAGGCACCGGAGAAGGATACTCATCGTCGTTGTTGTGGCCTGTGCCGGCGCAACACTGGTCGTTCTTGGTGTTGCGGTCACTCTAGCCTGCAAGAGGGCCCAAAGACGGACATCCAAGAAGAGGCCGGAAAGGCTGATGCTACTCCCTAGCAGAATACCGAAGCTTCAAGCGTCCGCAGCTGCTGCTCCCTCCAACAAGGTGAGCTTCGATCCCTGCTCGGACCAGTTCTATCTGAATTCTTTAACCAAGTACCTGGAGAGTGATTTGAGTCTCCATCAAACACCTCAACTCAAGAGCGTGGCCTCGGTTGAAAGCATGACTAATTTAGAACACATGAAGAGTTGTGAGTCGGACAATGTCAGTTGTTTGGACGAGGAAAATATTCCGGCGGAGACCGCGTGTCGTTCCGACAACGGTGACGATGACGATGACGACGACTCCGACTCCTTCCATTCAGTAAGTTCTCATCCTTTGAATCAATCAGTGAGTTCGTCAGAGGAAAACTTCAGTCGCCGTTCAGAGATTTGTTCTCCAATCAGTTCCTACAGATCTACCTCATCGAGCCACAACAATGTATCATCTTCATATGGCACTACCTCAGCAATCCCTGCAAGAAACTTTGTGATTCCTCAGAAGGTAACAGCTCCCACGGACTCCTTCCTCTGTTCTTCTTCAAGAAGATTTGGAGGAAGAGATTCTCGACCTCGAGCTGCGCCTCGCATTGAGGATAGAAGTTCTCTTAGCCGCAGTGAGCCTTCAACACTTGGCTTCGTCCACAGCATTGAATCTCATGATCTCGAAAGCAGTGAACTCTGTTCAAAGCTAGAAATGGCGTCGGTTGAGTCGTCGCCTTCCGATGAATTGAAAAGCTCACCTGCTCCCTCGAAGGCAGACTTGCTTTCTACAGCAGAATCTGCAGCAAAAGAACCCATGACATGCCCACATCAGAGCAAATCAGTTTCCCCTGATGGTAATGGTAATGGTAAAGCGGGGTTCTCCCCTCCGATGCCATTGGTTAGTAATGGACGCATTCCAAAGCCACCAGGCCCGCCACCACTACCTCCACCACCACCCATCAGGCCACCACCATTTCCAAAAGGGTGCAGTTCTGGCCATGCCCCTCCTCCACCACCGTGCCCGGCTCAGCTAAGCACGCCGGTCGGCAAAGATGGTACTCCACTGCCCAAGTTGAAACCCCTGCACTGGGACAAAGTGAGAGCCGCCCCCGACCGTTCCATGGTATGGGACAAGATAAGATCAAGCTCATTCGAGTAAGCGACATATCCTCATCTTCTTCCGTTCCTTGGTCGGACGAGATCGGTGCTTACTCAACCTTTTATTTGAATCCTTACAGGTTCGATGAGAAGATGATCGAATCACTTTTCGGGTACAATTTGCGAAGTTCATCCAGGACGGAAGAGGGAAAGAGCAAGACGCCATCTCCCAGCAAGCATGTCATGGAGCACAAGAGACTGCAGAACATCACCATACTGATGAAGGCCTTAAATGCGAATGCCGAGCAAGTTCGCAATGCTCTGACGCTAGGTAGATCCAGAAACGAATTCTCCGTAGTCGCATTCGCTCATCCTTTGGCATGATTCTTTTAATTTCAAGACACTGTTGGTTGGGTTTCGTCAGGTGAAGGATTGACCGTGCAACAACTGGAGGCACTGGTGAAGATGGCGCCAACGAAGGAAGAAGAAGAAAAGCTTTCCAACGTCGAAGGCAACGACGACGAGCTAGATCCAGCGGAGAAGTTCCTCAAGGCGGTACTCCAAGTATCCTTTACGTTCCAGAGGAGTGAAGTCATGTTCTACAGGGAAACATTCGAAGACGAAGTTGCACATCTAAGAAATTCTTTTGCTATGATCGAGGTGAAGACTCGAATTCAGATTATTATTGATCAGAGACTTGGGTGCTAATCGATCTTAATTTGCTTCCAGGAAGCTTGCAAGGAACTCAGATCCAGCAGGCTTTTCTTCAGACTGCTGGAAGCCGTGCTCAAAACTGGAAACCGGATGAACGTTGGAACCATCAGAGGAGGTGCAAGAGCCTTCAAGCTCGATGCTCTCTTAAAACTGGCTGATGTGAAAGGAACTGATGGAAAGACTACCTTACTGCATTTTGTCGTTCAAGAGATAGTTCGACTGGAAGGTGTAAACGCAATGGAGACCGAAACAGAGAAGCACAAGTCGAAGACGGCGGAGGAAAAAGAAGAGGATCACAGGGCAACAGGTCTGAAACTTGTCTCGGGATTGATCACCGAGCTCGGCAACGTCAAGAAGACTGCAAGCATGGACTTGGATGTCCTGATCAGCTCCGTCTCAAATCTCTCGAGTGGACTGTCTCAGTCGAAACAGTTAGTAGAACAAGACATGACGGTTGACGACAAGAGCAAGAGATTCGTGCATCGCATGAGATCCTTCCTGAATGAAGCCGAAAAGATAGTGAAAGAGCTGAAAGATGACGAAAACCAAGTGTTGCTTCAGGTCAGGAACATCGCGGAGTACTATCATGGAGATGTAAGCAAGGATGAAGCGAACCCACTTCGGATCTTTGTGATCGTGAGGGACTTCCTGTGCATGTTGGATCGAGTATGTAAAGAGGTGGGCAACTCGAAGACTCATCAGGGTCCGATTTCGTTGTTGCTTTTGGATAGACGCGGATAAGTTTCTTCCTCCTCATTCCCTGATATGATATTTCTTCCAATTGTAGAGCCATCACTTGATTTTTCTTTCTCTTTTGTGTGAAGAAGCCATGATGAGAAGATAACCCTCGGCATGATATTGCTTTGGAACGTGTTGATAAAAATATGTTACATTGGTTATGCGAATTAATTTGTGAATTGTATTACCTCAAACAATCCAAGAACATAAATGAATTGATCCAATATTTCTTTTATAAGACTTAATACTATCAATTTATTTTTGAATAGACTTACTGTATTTTTAGTACTTCCAAACTTAAATAAAAACTTATTTATATATAAAAATAAGATTTATCTTTATTGATCTAGAAACAAAAATAACCAAATATGAATATTTTTTATATTAATTTTAATATTTTTAATAAACTTATATTATTTTTGAACGGTTCGACACCACCATTCTCGTAGCAATCAACCTATTAGCTAGTTTGACTAGTAGTCTCTTAGGAATGCAGACAATTCTACGGAGAACACGGCTGACGAAGTCTCGTCATTGGAGTGGAGTGGCCACAGTCCAATTTGGCAGGCTTCGATCATTGCCTTCGGCTTTCCAAGAGTCGCATACGGCCGCAAGAACACTGCTCTTTTGTCTCGTTGGTTTCCCCCCTAGGAAAAAGCTATCCTTCATTGTTCTTGAATCCTCCCGGCTACCATATTGTATCAGATGTTGTCGTGGTTTGTCAGTGTATATTAGTATGGTTTTCCTCAGCAATCCTTACGATAATAGTTTTTATATCAAGATCGCTTTTATTTTCATTTAAAAAGCTAACAAATAGACCGTAGACTGAGCATTAAAGAAAAGAGGAGGTGTTTTTGTTTTTGAAGAATTGAAGTTTCTGCAGAAGAAAGGCTTTGGAAGCTGCATATGACTTGAGTGCTATTCTGAACTAAACTGAGACGTTCTTAGGCACGATCGGTCTCTCAGACGAGTCTACTTTTGTATCTTTCTATGAGCGAGGCAATCATTTTCTCGTAATTATTTGCTGATAATGAAATGTCAATCCTCTCTAACACGCCTATTTGACTTTTCCTTCTTTCATTTGTATTACGAAAATGACTTTTCTAATCAAACCGTGTTCCAAAGTGCAAGAATAATTAAGATTAGGGCCTTCCACATGCTTTGTGGATATATACAGTAAAGCCAACTTCGAATAAGTATGATGGTGAGGTCACTTTTCTTTTAATCAAATTTAGGATTAATTCAAGTAGAAAAGTAGATATTTAAATCGGGCTTAATTACTTAATTGCCTAGAATTTGATGGAACTTGTAGATATATTATATCATAGGATGATTATATATATATAAAGATGAGATGTCTGTCACTACGAAGACCCCGCGAAGCATTTGGTCAAGGAGGTGTGACATTTGCAATGATGACTCCATTGCTCGCATTCGCCTATGACCCAGTGGATGATATAAAATCAAGATCAGCTAATTCCTAGAGCGATCTTCCACGAGATAACCCACAAGTGGCTCTTCTTCCAGCTGTAGATCAACCAAGTCCAGTTCTTCCACGATGTATCCATCCAAACCAGATCCCTACTACCCTCCGCCGCCGCAGTCGACGGGCTCCTACTACCCTGCGGCGCCACCGACCACGGGCGTTCCGGTGCCCCTAGCTCCCGGCGTTTTCCATATCCAAGCTCCGGTGACCGGTCCATGGTCGACCGGCCTCTGCCACTGCTGCGACGACGTCGGCAACTGTAATCGATCCCTCCGGTCTCTTCATCCCAACTGTTGTTACTCATCTTGGTTCTTCCTTGTAACGCATGTTATTGCAGGCTGCATCACTTGCTTCTGCCCTTGTATTACCTTTGGCCAAATCGCGGAGATCATCGACAAAGGATCCACCTGTGAGTATTTTCTTTGTATATGTAATCGTGGAATCTGTTCTTCTTGGTTGTCTGAACCCATGGATTGATATCCGAGAAGCGTGTGGGGTGAGTGGGGCACTGTACGCGCTTCTAGCGTCCGTGACGTTCTGCCCGTGCTTTTACTCGTGCTTCTACCGCTCCAAGCTGAGGAGGCAGTACGGGCTGAAGGAGAAGCCCTGCGCCGACTGCCTCGTCCACTGCTGCTGCTGCGAGTGCTGCTCTCTCTGCCAGATGTACCGAGAGCTCAAGCGTCGTGGCTTCGACATGAGCATAGGTTCCAGAGCCACACCCTCTCTCTCTCTCTCCCTCCATAGATCTCTTGTTCTTCCTGTTGACTGTTGCAATCGTTCCTCTCTCTCTCTCTCTCTCTCTCTCTCTTAGTGAGTTCTTCTTTGAGTTCTGCATGATCTGACTTCCTTTTCTTTTGTGCAGGTTGGCATGCAAACATGGAGAGACAGGGAGAAACGGCAACCTTGCCGCCGCCGGTCCAAAGCATGAGCGGGTGATACACGCACACACCCTGGAAAGTACATGCTATTATAATTAAGTGACTGCAGTTGTTGAATTACGGAACAAATTACGATTGTACGTCCCGTTTCTTCCTGTATGAAAAGTAAATAATGTATGTCTCGTGGATGCTTAATTTCATATGGATTATGGTTTCATGAAGCATTTGATGGTTCAAGATGTCAGCCCATAGTTGTTCATTTGCAGTCTACACACGGTTCTTTACTTTCTAATGTTTGGAAGGTGGACTTTGACTCAAGTAGGACAACAGTGGATGTACACGCATCTTGTAGGTGATATTTCTTAGCCTCGTTTCAAACATTAATGTCATGTTTGGGCCCCATCTCGGCGAAACCAGGCTGCACTCAATTATTACTCCGCGTCATCTCCTCGAGATGATATTGATGTTAGATTACGTCAACAACAACAAAATTATAAATCTTAATTAATTAAATTAAGAAATACGTAATATTAATTGCTTAATAATTTAATAAAAAAATATATTTATATTTTTAAATAGGTATGATTAAGGGATTTATCAAGTAATTTATCAAAGTAAAGGATTTTTTTAGAGTTATTTATAAAGTAATTTATCAAATTCAATTAATTCAAAGTTACTTAAACTAAGAAAATAATTGAGCCAGAAATATTAATTACCCAAGTGCACTTAATAATTGAGCCAGAAATATTGGGGGAGTGTCATTATCGCAGTTTTCTACCACCATGCGTTAATGACAGGAAAGCAACCGATCAGAAGGAGCCTATCTGCCACCTGTCCATTGTTTAGTGCTCAGACCTGGGAATTGCCGAAATCAAGAGCGGCAGCGAAGCAAGAAAGGCAGCAGCCGTCGGTCCTCTAGCAACAGACCTCCATGGCGGCGACGGCGTTTGCGGCGTCCTCAACGGCTGCCGCAGTGCTGGGCGGAGCTCGCCTCCCTGTACCCGGCTCCGCCGTCCTCATCCCGCCGCGACCTCGCCGCTACTCGTCCCTGCCTCTCCCCCTTTCCTCCTCCCACTCCCATGGTATCCTTACGCTTATCATGCCTCTTATACAACTTCAGCTTCAATCTCTTATATTTCTAGTTGAGAACTTCCATGAATACTTATACAGTACAATTTGCACAGAGAAGATTAGATTTTGAGGAAGTTTCATGATTATCTTCCTCTTTTGATTGAGTGTGAATCCTAGAAGATACCAAAGGGTTTCCTTAGTTGAGTTTTATGAATCAAAATGGGAAAACAAGTGTGTCTTTTAGCATTTAGCACAGGTTATCAAGTGACATCGCACGACTGATTCAGGTTCTTATTTGCAGATGTTTGCAGGTTTTCTTCGCTCCGGGTAAGAGCATCTTCATCATCAGAAGAGTCATCTGGCTCTGTTCAAACTGATGAGCTCCTGGCAGATTTGAAGGACAAAGTAAGCCTGCCCAATTCATGCACATTAGCATTCTTTACCTGTCTTGGAATCTGATCCAACTGAGCTGTGATGGCAGTGGGACTCGATTGAGAACAAATCCACGGTCTTCTTGTATGGCGGAGGTGCAATTGTTGCAGTGTGGCTATCTTCCATAATCGTCGGTGCTGTCAACTCAGTTCCTCTGGTATTAAGATGACTTATTGACTCTGATTACAGATTCGTATGTTCTTATGAACCAACTATCAATCCTTGTGATAGCATCGAATGCTGCCACATTCGATACATTTTGAGAAGTCAAGGCAGAAATGCAATCAGCATTTATGATGCCAAACTCGTGATATCTTTGACAGTTGACACACAAAAATGTAGTTGCTTTGTTCCAAGTCATGTTGTCCTCAAAGCTTCTTACTTGTGATTTCAGCTTCCAAAGATCATGGAATTAGTGGGGCTTGGATACACTGGATGGTTCGTATACCGTTATTTACTTTTCAAGGTAAAGTTTAAGATACAGATGTTCTAATGAATGTTACTGTTTGATTCGAAGCAATTGATCACTTCTAACCCATTTGTGATTTTAGATTTTACTTATTCGATGAACACCAATGCTATTTATGATCATTACTACCATTGAGTTTAATTGTAAGTTATCCAAAGGACTTAGAAGAGATTCTTACCAAAGAATATATCTCATCTAAATCATCTGTAAATAGGTTGTATTGCATTTATAGCTGCTAAAGTATGTAAATATAAGAATTCTAAAGTATCTAAAATTTCATGCATGTCTAATATTCTTTTGCTTGGTATGGAAAGCCAGAGCTTAGGATAATTGCTTACATGATCTAAAATGTTAAACAGTGTACATATTGTTTGGTTCGTTTTGACAAAATGCGATGCCAATTGTCATAAAAATTGGTGCATCTAATTGTCATAAAAATGTAATGCTTAGTCTTGCCCTACTTGTTCTTTGTCATCAATCTTCTCTTTCCTGACAGATCACTTGTTATTTACAGGAAAGCAGAAAAGAATTAGCCAGTGATATTGAATCTTTGAAGAAGAAGATTGTCGGAACAGGTGAACAACTGTAGTTAGCCGGCAATATCTGAGGATTCTCTTGATGACCTCTCTAAGATGCATTGATAGCATATCAAACAGCGCCTTATGCTATTCCTGAGAATTTTCCTCCTTGTAATGCCGATAAAAAAAGTTATTAATTATTATTTATAGTTACTGATCAACCAAAATAAAAAAGTTTTAATCCTTTACATCAAAATATATTCCTTTATATCAAAACAAAATCTTAGTAATCGGTAATCGTTCTTGAATCAAAGGGTTTATCTTTATCTATTTTGATTTGAGTCGAATATATATATATAGTAAATCAGTGGTATTTAATATAAATTCATTTATTTATTCTGCCATCCACGGCCCCTTCTTGTTTCTCTTTTTCGAATCTTCTCACCGCCGATCGCCCATGAACGATGTCGCCGCCGATGCCACCGTCCACCAAAACTTTATCGTCCCTCCCTCCGACCTTTGCTTCGTTCTCGACTCCTCTTCTCATCTGATCTCTGATATGGTTGGATTTCCTTCCAGCTCCGGGTGGTGATCAAGGGGCGTTCTTTGGAGATTGGACGGTCCAGACCACCCGGGAGCTCGGTCCGCAACCGAGGGGACGGATCCGTCGAGGCCCTCTTCTCCGGCGACCCCTCCGCGGTCGACCAGATGGTCGAGAGACGCTGCAGGGTGGGCCCCTCCTCAGTCTCCGTCACCGCCCTTGCCTCCTTTCCTTCCGACGAGGATCTCGGTCAAGGGTTCCAACGCAAACCCACGGCTTAAATAGAATCATACAATTAGTTCGAATTGGTGAGGACTTTGATAATCTTGTTCTCTTCGGGTATTTTGGCCTATTGGTTTATCTCTATCCTTATTGCTGCATAGTCTAATTGTGATTCTGTTCCTTTGTCACGATCAAAAAATTTGATTTTTTTCTGATCTTTTATATGCTTTCATGTTTCCTATGTGCAACACCCATGTTCTGTGTCCACACTACATAAACTAATTAGCAATTCAGGAGCTGAGTTAGGGTTTACATTCAGCTGGGGAACAATGCGAAATCTACGTGATTCATTATAAACATCTAGCAATGAAATTGATATAAACGGTAAACTCTGTTCTGAATTAATAATATGCATATGTTTTAGAGATTCAAGTCAATATTGATGCTTAAAAAATATGCATATGGTGTGTAATAGGATTTTCTTCCTAATAGGGCTAAGCAAAAAAGGCCTTTTATTTATACTTTATACCTTCCCTCCCCAATTCTTTTGCAGTGTCCGATCAGTTAGGAATCTATAATCATAGAAGTCAAAAACTGGAAAGTTTAATCCACATTGCAAAATGTTGCTCACTCTATTCGGGCTAATAAAAAGATCTGCTTAACATATACTGCATCCATAATGGGGCTTTTGGATACTTATTTGACATAAACTAGGTTTTTAGAGGCTTTTCAAAGTTGCCTCTGAAAATAACGTTGAATATATCATTTTTGATCCTAATCCAAGTAGGTGTAAACTCCTTATCCAAGCAGGATTAGGGTAGGACTAGGACTTCTCCCCGAGACTTGATTTGCTTTTGATTTGGATCTTAACTTGGACTGAGAAAGATCCTCTAATCACCTGAATGAAAAATGTAAATTGTATCACCATGAATCCATTTTTCTGCTAAGTGGCCTTTTCCGGATTTTTAAAATGGTCCAACTACGATAGTTTGAGATCAGAATAGGTACAATAGAACTCTAGGATCGTGAGAACAAGTTTGGCGGGATTACACTGTAACATATTTAAATACATTTTGAGGGTACCCGATGATGTTTATTACGTACATTAGAGAAACATAGGTATATACAATATATAGTGCCAAGAAGAGTCTCCCTCGAGATGAATTCTTTCTGTGTTTGTGGAGATACGCATATGGTGGCATGGTGTTAATTGAATATGTTAATCAAGATAATTATGCATTTTTCTCTTTTTCTATTTCAAAATCATGCAATTTTCTAAAATAGGAATTGCCAAAACTGCAAAATTTCCAAGAGCAATATCTTTTTCAAAGTAATGGAGGATAACACAGATCCCTGCCGGACCTTCTATTAGATTCTAGGGATCTGTCTCACCATTCTGATTGCCTTCACTTCTCCATGTAGGAGGGAAATAGAAAACAGGTAGGAAGAATCTTTTGAACTTCCAAGACCACCAAAATATTTACAATATTTACACTAACCAAGAAACTGAAATTGGAACATCAAAACTTTCTATAAATTGTTTGTTATTTGTGTATCACAAGTGAATATTTTCTTAATTCTGCTTTTCTATTTGGTTAGTCATTGTGCTCGTTATTCTCTTTCTTTTTTTTCTTTCAGCATTTCATAAATTTGTTGCTGTGATGTGAATAGCATGACTATTGCATCTCACAAATATGGCAGTGCAATTATATTATTAACAAGAAAAATAATTCTAATAATTTGTGATACTCCAGATATAAACTGAATATAAATATATAATCTATATTTATGTGTGTATAGATGTGTATATGTATGTACAAGTGCACAGTTATATTTTCCCATTGATGTTGACAGTGGCACAATTAATACTTTTAAGAACATATCTGCTGCTGGCATCACTTACTGCAAACACATTCTTCTTGTCACCCACATGGTTGAGCTGTTGATGTCTTTGATTGCTAAGTGACTGTCCAAGTTGCATGATTTTTTTTCTTTTAAGTATTTTTCTCTTCTTTCTTTGTAACTTTGCAACATTGTAATACTACATGAAATGTGATTTTGACAAGGCTTCTGCTACTTATAAACCTCCAGCATAGTTTTTTTTTTCTATTAACCGCTCATTTGGCAAAGTTCTTTTATGCACATCTGTCATATTTAGACATTTCATCCTTGTTTATTACAGCATATCAAGAATCTGGGTTACTCCTGCACTGTCTTTGATCAAGCGGAGTGAATAATGTTTTGTATGGTTTCTGTATGATGGAAAACATCTCAGGCCATCGAATGCTATTTTGTGGTGGATAGTAGACATTCATTAATGTGGAAGATAATACCTTTTTCTGTACACCATTGAAATGCTAGACAGAAAAGTGTGAAGCAAATTAAGAGCTATCATCGTGTGTTGTCATCTTCTGAACTGAAGAATCAACCTTTCTATGTACAATAGTGATCTTGGCGAAAAAATCATTAGATGCCAACCAGAATCTGCAACACAGATGACACTTTCTAGATTACCTAAAGCCCTACTCATTGCTTCTTCGAGGCAGGAAAGTATGGGTTTTTTAGCTTACTCATCTTCCGTGCAGCACTTCCGCAGCAAATATTTGAAATGGAGCATGTTTGATTATTCATCATAGGGCGATGTCATTGACAACAAAGGATGAATGCAATCTGCAATGGCTCTCGCTTGATCCCCAACGGAGAAAAACTATTATGGATGTTGCCACAGAAGGGTAACCAAAGCTGATGGATATCATTGGTTGGGTTTGTCAAAGAGACGGATGGTGACATCGAGAATACTGCTGGGGATATTTATTTGGACGGAATTTTCTGTAGCCTATGCATTATCTGCTTGGACTTATCCCATGACACTGTATCTTATCCATGACTCTCATCAGCTGAAAGTATCAGCTATCTCTTCATGCTGGGGAGACTCCACATCCAAGTCCTAACATGGCCAACACTGCCGTGCAAGGTAATTGTGTTCTGAGGACAACTTAATCCATGAGAAAAACCAATGAACACCTTAATTCTCTCTTACCTTTTCTTGCTCTCAAACTTCTGACCTCTCCCTGTTCCTGATCCAGATATGTCTTCGCACTACAGTGGTTTGGATTCCCAGTTGTTTACTGGTTACCCTTGGCTGAATTGGAGGGATGATGCAATCAAGAAAAATATGACTATTAAGGGAAAAGAGAAATGTTGCGAAGTCTTATAATCTTGCTGTTTTCCAGGATGTTGTCGAGTTCTTCTTGACCTGCATGGTCGGAGCACCAATCAAGATGAAACAGACAATTGAGACCTTTCATTCTGGTGCTTTTGCCTGTAATCCTTTATACTTTGATAAATTGAAATGGTTTGTCGCCATTTAGAAGATCTGAAAATGATGTTTGATCACCCAGAGGCTCTGCTCGAACATGTCCCTAGAAAATAGTTATCAAGGTTAAGTTGAGAGCAGAATATTCTTGTTCTTCACATTCCAGGGGCTAGCTAGAACACATTATATATATATTCTATCATAAACACAGTATATTAGCAATATATCCTGGGAATGGTTTTCTCAACTCCTGTTCTTCCTTTTTTTTTTTTCTTTTTTCTTTTGAAACTATCTCAATTTAAGAACGAAAAATAGCTGCATCTTTCAAATCTGAGTCCTTCCACATCAAGAAAAAGTGGATTTATTATATATATCCCATCATAAAAACAATGGGCACTCAAAAACTGTCTCTCGCAGCAGAAGTGCCCAAAGACAATGATAGGGTAAAAAGAGCAGAAGTCGGTTATTGACTAAGCCGAGCACTTAGAAATTAGAAGAACTAGATTTGCTTGTAGAGGCTCTGTCAGTGAGCGAACGCTGGTCCCGGAGCTCGCTTCACGAACCGGCCCTTCATCCTCGGCCGCTTCTCGGCGTTCAGTTTCCGCACTTCGTACCGTATCTTCTTCGCGAACAGCCTCGTCCGCCGCTTCTCCCGGTACCTCGTCACCCTCGCTTGCCTACCCACATCCGCATACCCCCCTCCGGTGTCGCTGCCATGCCCGACTCCCAGTGCGTCCGCTCCTTCCACCCACATGCCCTAAGTCCGCCAAAAACCACAGTTTTCATTTCATCGAACGCCAGAGAAACAATGCTTAAACATATTTTGGGTGATGGGAGTACTGAGCTTACCGTACAGTCATGCCAACAACTGTCTAGATTAATCTGAGGCCGCTCGCCGTCAGTCCACGGTGAAGAGCCATGGCTCGACCATGCGATTATGACCGCCTCGTAGTCGAGACTCAGTCTGGCTTTCTGTGTTACTTGTTGCTGTTCCGTGGCCACCATTATCTTCTCTTCTTCGAATTCCTCTTCTTCAGCTGTCGATGACCCTGTCCAGTTGAAGTCCAGCTCCAGCGTCTCCCTCGACATGTCGATGTCCAGCTCGACTGGGCACCCTACTGTGTCGTCCGGCTGCTCCGTCTTCAAGCGCCCTGCATCGCCCAAGCAATAGTTGACGCCATCCTCTATAGAGTTTACGAGCCCGAGCTTCTCCATGGAGAAGGAGCCATCGCTGACATCGAGACCGCCGCCAAGGAGGCTCTCCATGTTGGCTGCGAACTCCGCAATCTCCATATCTGACGGAAGGAAGGCGGTCAGCCTATTGGCGGTATTAATGGTTGGGGTGGACGCAGGGGTGCATTCTTGTAAATCCATCGTCGGCTTAGCTTCATTGCCGGAAGGAGCGTTTGAGTCGTCCAGAGGGGGAGGGGAGCGGAATTCCGCGAATGCCGGGTCGAACACCGGGACACAGTAGATAAGCTGCTGCTCCTCGTCCTCGGTCTCATCCAAGGATGTCTCGACGAGCTCCGGCACCGTAGTCGGATGCGCCGTCCTCGCTTCAGAGGCCGTTTTCGCATGCTGGTGCGGCCGGGGCGTCCGCGCCTTGCGCTTGAACCCCCGGAGCCAAGAGGGGGCCGAATCGTCCGAATCCACATCGGGCGCACCGGACGACGTCGCAGTTTTGAGGCGAATGCGATTGTGGCGACGAGCGAGGGGGTTGGCGGAGTGGACGGAGGAGTCGCAGTTCTGGCAGAGGAAAGCGTCATCGGCCGCGCAGTACCACCGAGCGCGGCGACGTCCGCAGCCGTCGCAGGCACGTGCCGTCTTCCCGGCCACGGCGCTCGACGCCGCTACCGCGGCCGGTCGCTGCTTCTCGAATAGGCTCATTACTAGCTACAATGGTAGATTGGAGGAGATCCACAAGAATACTGTACTTTGCAGCACAGAAATATCGCACGAGCGTGGCTTATATCTTCCGGAGCTGGATAAGACTAGAAGAGAAGCGAACGTTATAAAGAGAAGGAAGTCCGGGTGGGCCACCGGAGGTGCACTTTTGAGACGGTGGTGCGCTTTTCCTCACGGCCGCGGGCCTTATCCGCAACGCCATTGGCCGAGGCGAGGAAGGGCATCCGCTTCCCGGCACTCCCATTGGCCGCGGTCGAGATTTCCCTGCGGGGTCCACGAGGGGGAGCTCTCGCCCTCGCCATCGGCCCGGGACCGCAGCAATAATTCCTCGTTTGGAAGAAGGAAACCCGGCGGCGGTCCCCCGGACAAGTCGCTCAGTGTCAACGTCTCCCATGGATTGCAATCTTAAAGGTTCGATCTTTATTTCGCCATGGTGGCGACGACGACGGGCTTTTTGTTCAACGCGGAATTGCTGATTACTTCTGGATCTCTGTGTCTGCCAGAACCAATCTTATCCTCGAGGAAATGGCGAGTGCTCGAAGAAGCAAATCTGTTCCAGATTTGCTAATACAGTGATCTTTGACAGAGCTCTATCTGTATCTTAATATGTATAATAAACTGCAAGGAGCATTAAAATCCAAAGACGGCTGAACAGACAGAGCTTTCAGAGGCAAAGAAGGAGGATGAGCGACTGCAGAGTACGCTCAAGACTTGTATGGGGATTTCCAGTGGGCCTCTACTGTACCTTTGTACTTATGCGGAACACCTCCCTGTCAGAAGTGAGAATAGAGCAAGGTATTTGGAGAGCCACGATAGCTCACTGACCCACAGAATGGGCTCCTTTGTACAGATGTGACTGTTTACCTGAGGGAAAACGGGAAACAGTGATCCACTGTTGTTCATGTGTGTGAAGTAGTGGATGAACATTTTGCTGCACAAGTGCAACATGCCATCAGCTCGATTAGCTTACTTAAACTGTTTGGTGTCTGGTAATGGCATCTGCTATTTGTTTATCTGCAGAAATAAAGCACAGGTTAAACAGATGAAAACAGTCTCTTTTCAGAATTAAATGATCATGTTAATGTTAGCATCTCTGTTCCGAGATAAGAAGCGGTCCGTCAGGTATTGTTGTATGTCTGTGAACTCGTTCCATAAATGTCGCCGAAAGTGATGCAGAAATTAAAGAAGGGATGTGACCAGATATTAAATGCCAATCATCATAACTGGGCTTCTAATTAATCATCTCATAATGAATGGATGATGATAGATGGCGACAGACTATACCAGCCCATAAAACCCTTTTAAGGAAAGTATAATAATATATGAAGCCGACTGAAAATTTGTTGTGAAGGCTTGATTATCTAATTCATTAATATAATATATATTTATATAAATTTAAGAATTTTTTTTTTCTTAAATCATGATGATTGATCATTAAATAATAGATTGATTGAGGATTAGATATATAAGGAATATAAAATTATCATTCTAGACTTATCTCAATTATGATCCTTTATCATGTCTTGTAAAATTGAGCTTTCATCAAAGTCAATCTTGGAATGATTTAATTGAAATACCCTATAGGCAAGAAACTTTATGAGAGAGTTAGCTAGTTGGTAAGTATAGACATGAGAAACACGTAATTAACATTTGAAAATTTGATCTTTAACAAAGTGAAAGTCTATGACAATATGTTTAATGTGAGAATAGAATATCGAGTTCGAGCATAAGTAGATGATACCAATATTATTATAGTATATTATTAGAGTGGATTGTGAGGTAACATCAAGTTCTATAGTATATCGGTGACCTACTTGAGTTTTAGAAGTGGATCTTACGATTATATTATGTTTCTTCAAACTCTAATTGATCATGTTTATTCTAAGGTATACAATGTAGGTTGATGTAAATATTTTATCATTCATATTTTCTATCCAATCAGCATCGACGAAGATATAAAGATGAAGGGATGAGTATTTATAAAGAAGAATTTCATGATTGAGAGTCTATATCGCATGATACAATTTAGTACAAACCAAAGTATGATGGAGCTATGAATTATGATAATTTATTGATTATAAATAAAATATTATACGTGTAAGAAAGAAATATTATAAGAAATCAAGTATCTATCAATACTACGGGGGATCTATAATAGGGTTACCATTATATAATCTGAGTGACTCGGTGAAGGAGAGTGGGGTGATAACTTTTTTAGCATAATATATATGTTTATTCTTGATAATAGATTTTAAATATACTTTTTTGGAGATAGAATAAGTCTATAAGATGTGAACATTACTTCCACTTTCAAAAAATATCTTAAGGTTCTTGGGACTTTTATGGATAATTGATCTATTAATTATGTAAGAAATTACTTGATCTCCATAGAATTATTGTCAGGATAGTGTCATCAACATAAATCATTAGATATATATTGTATCTTTTTGTTATTGTAGGAATAAAGAGATTTCAGATTTGTAGTTGATGAAGTCAACTGACATAAAAATAAAAAAATACTAAGTTCGATATATTAGGCTTTTGGAGATTGATGAAGTTTATAAATAGCTTTTCATAATTTACAAACATAGTTTAGATATTAAGGGTGGATGAAACCAAGGAGTTGCTATATATAAAGATATATTCAGTTAAAGTCTCATGTAAGAAAGTATTGTTAATATCTAGTTGTCGTGCATCCTAGCTTTAAGTGATAATCAAATTTAAGATGAATCAAATTATTATCAATTTAACAACTAGACTTAAAGTCTTTATGAAATCAATACCTGATTATTGGTGAAAATTTTTTGTCGTTAGACATGCTTTATATTGGTAATGGATCCATCTAGGATCTACTTAATTTAAAAGATCCACTTACACCCGATAGCATTTTGTATGACATTGTAAAGGAGAGCATCATATTTCTCATATATGGCTTTTGGGCTTTGATGATGCTTATGGGTTTAATAGGGTCGGGTAGAGAGCATATGGTAACATAAAAATTAAGAATTTAGTATGGTTTAAAGATGTCATTTTTGGTATATGTTGTCATGTGATGTTTAAACTCGATAGTATTACTAGGTTATGTTGATGGTATAAGAATTGGTTAAAAGTCAATGACATATGCCTCATCAAGCTAATGCACTTCGATATCACTTATCAAAAAGAGGACAAAAATATCATTTGTGGTGTTGAGGGTATTGCTTCATCAAGCATCATAGAGTAAGTTGGTGAATAGGTGGATGGATAAATTGCAGAAGAGGTGAAATATTAATAAACTAGAGTAATAGAGGAGAACTATTGATTGATGTGGTAAGAGGTGTGCTTAAGGGGGTTTGAGGTATAATGATATGAACCCAGCAATGAATGATTATTGTGGTGGCTCACATTACTGAACGAGCAAGATTTAAGAAGGAAAATGTTGACTCAACAAAAATAATATTATGTGATACAAAGATCTTATAAGTTTGAGAATTAAAATACCGAAAAATATTATTTTCTAGGGAGTACCTGATGAAAATACATAAATATTGATGTTAAATTATGTAAAGCATAGAGACGTAGCAAGGGATAACATAAATAATCAAATACTTTGAGTTTTTAAAGATTTAAAATTTTATAAAATAATTTTTCAAATTATGACTTGTGTTATAAGATTAGGGTGAGCATATGATTAATGAGGTAGATCATAATTTATAACACTACTAACCAAAAGGTTAATGGTATGGAGGTTTTGTGTAAGAGGGTGAGACCAATTTCAATTATGTGTTGGTGCTTTCATTCGGGAGAGCCAACTAGTTGAGATGTGTATGATGATGACTTGAGATATTGTATATCATATGATGAGAGATAGCGTGTCATAGCTTAATATTCACCTCTCCATTAGTATAAACTATTTTAATGGTAGATTGAAAGAAATTTTTTATCATCTTTCTAAAATGAGTAAAGACCAAGGTAACTTTAAATTTATGTTTGAAAGGATAGAACCATATAGATTTAGTGAAATAATCTAGAAAATGATAAAAAAATTAAAATTATTAAAGGAAGTAGTTGAAGCAAGACCCAAACATCTACATAAATAATTTTAAGTGGCTTCAAGTAGGATATAAAAGATGTTATAAAAGATAGTCTGTGACTTTTATTACTGATGCAAGTATCACAATGAGTAGTAATCTTACTTAATTTAAAAGTTAAAAGAGAGTCATGAAAAATTAGTTATTATTGAATAGAGGATGATGAATGACTAAGACAATAAATAAGTTATAAAAGTAGCAATTGAAGCAAAAGTGATTAGCTAGGTGATTTATGGAGCTAACAACCACTTCTATATATTATCTTTATTCTTGTCTCAAACTAAGGATACTTAATTGCTCAAATCTTTTACAATAAATAAGTTATAAAAGAACTCAATATAAGTATTATTTTATTTATAGAATTGAAAGATATAAAAAATATTCCTTTTGATATGAAATGCATATAAAATATCATCAAGTGTAAAAATATTCATGTGTAAATTAAGTGTCATAAAACCAGTGTAAATGATAGGGATTCCATTATCATCACTAATGAGAATGTCTTTGTTGCCACCATAGTTGAAGTGGATAGATTCTACAAGCCAAAGGTGATATTATGTGAAGCACCTGAATCGATAATATAATTGGTTGAATAAGTAGTCAGATTAGTCATCTTGTTTGCTTGAGGCTAATTAGGTATGTCATTGGACTTTAGTTACGAATGACACATATTGGTTGTATGACCAATCTTATCACATAGTTGATAACGACTTTTCATTGACTATAGTAGACATTAGGGTGTCATGCTTCTTAGTAATAGTAGTAGTTGAAGTTATTTTTTGGGTTGAAATGGCCACAATGATTAGTAGGTTGGTCGTCTGAGTGATGGATGATGACTGGGTTACTAATATGTCCATAATGCATCTTGTTTGAGCCTTTATTAAATTTCTTATTATTTTGATTGTTTTAGTTTTCTTTGCCTTTAGATTTTTTTTTAGAGAGTTATGATTGCAAGTCCTATCATTTTTTCTTCTTGTTTCATATAAGTTTCATGAT